TTCTTCATTCCTGAGGTTAGAACACCCTACATTCTTCTAGCGCTTCCTGTATACCATCTCATGAATTCCTCCATGAGTCCTAAAGTATTGTAATTTCTGTCTCACAGAGGCTGGACCTCGGGCTCAGAGAGGTTCGATGTGGGTTACTCGTGGTCACGCAGTAGTAAGCAGCAGGGTTGGAATTTGAACCGGAGGTACTGAAATGTGCACGACCCATGCTTTGAACCCCTCTGCTCTCATTTTCCCCTGCAGTAGGGAGTGGAGCAGACCCCAGTGTGGCCCCGGCCCGATTCCTCCAGACACCAGTCCTGGTGCGACTGGAGTTCATGTCCGTCATGAGTGACGAGGGGAAATAAACATCCTGAGCTCCACTTGATTGTGGCTGCATGTCTGAGCAGCAAACCTGTTGGCCCGCAAGGTCCTGCGGAGCTCATCGCGCATGCTGTCCTGGTCTGTGTCTGGTGGGCCTTCATTGCTGATGCTTGGAAGTGGAGCCGGCAGGCTTTCCTAGGGCAGGTCCCAGCCTGCCTCACTTCAGAGAGTCTCAGCAGTCAGCCTGGGAGGGAGTGGCGTGATGGGGTCTGACACTTGACGGGGGCCACACACGGCTCCTCCTGCTCACACGCCCCGCCTGTGTTCTGTGAGCCCATTAGGACCTGCACTGCCTCAAGCCCTCTACTTTCTCTGCGTGAGCGCTTCGCATCCCCGCTGTACTTCACCTGAAGAATTCTTTCTGCTTTCCTCAGCATCATGACCTTGTCTTTCTGTCTCATCCAGCACACCACCGCAGGAACAGCCACTGCCCCGCCCGTTAAAGAGAAATCTCACCACCGTTAGAGGGCTGGCTGGCTTCTTCCTCTCTTAGGGCTGCCATCGCAAATCACCATTTGTTCTCTCCCAGTGCTAGTGGCTCACACTCGCTCTGACCGAGTGGCTTCCAACGCACACTGACCCTAGAGGACAGGGTGACATTCTGAGACCGTGACTCTTTTTTTCTTTATCATTTTATTGGGGGCGCGTACAGCTCTTATCACAATCCACATATACATT